CACTCCAACCCCAGTGGCGTGTCATCGTTGCACTCCTGGCTCGTTCCCTCTGCCCGGCTTACCACAACCCGAACAAGATAACCGAGAGGATCTTATTGGCTGGTTTTTGCATGGTGGACCTATCTAGCACTCTACACCTGGTTTCAGTCATTGCCACTTCTTTTTCCAGGCCAAGGGTGGAGCCGTCCTTATGTCACATCGATGGGTCCTTACATCACCGGGTTTGCTCGATACTTCAAGGTCATCCTTGTAGGGTGCTCGAAAGAAGGGCGCACCCAGAGGTTTGACGAGGGCACCTTGCACTCCATGCGCTTATTGCGCACCTTTGGACCAATTCGGTACATCGAGGGAGTGAGTCCTAAACCCGAGGTCCCACCACCAGCAGAGCAGCCACCTTCTAGAGCACCCGGCCGTCGTCGGCGTCCAGCGCTCCAACGCCCAGCACAGCCACCACCACCACCACCAGGTGATCTCGTCGTCCAGAGGGTGGATCGCCTAGAGACAAACTTCGTGGGATTCTCTTCCCGCCTCGACTGGCAGATTGATCTCCTCGATTTGATGGCTCGACATTAGGGCCTCCTCCCAGATGAGGGAGAGGATACTTCCATCCGTGAGAGGTAGCCGACGAGTGAGATACGTGGCAGAGCCATTTCTTTCGCCCCACTTCTCCATTGTAACCCTGAACTTGTTGTTTTTGTTATTTTTCTTTCTTTTGTATGTGTATGACCATAATATACTACTACTACTATCGTATTGTGTGTGTAATAACCTCGCCTCGAGCGAGTCATATTGTGTTTGTGTGTGTGTTTTTGTCTCTCCTTGAAGCTCAAATATCCTACCCCGGAATCGATTCCAACTTTCACTCACCAAGCCCAAGCGGTAACATCATTCTACCACTTTCTTACGCCATTGAGGGCAATGTCGAGCTTAAGTGTGTGGGGGGGGGGGGGGGTAGTTTACTATTATGCTTGTGTGAGTGTGATTGATGCTTGGAGCCTTATGTATGCCCAGATTTAAAAAATTTGAGGGCTCCAAGCAATGTTTGCATGACCAAAGTGGCCGGTGTGTGGGAAAATCTCGTGTTTATTGGCATTGATCTTGAATTGTTGCATGTGATCGAGTTTATCCTATGATGATGACTGAGAGGTCCATTAGGATAGTGCAATGAATGGACGTCTTGACTCGATTACTTGTTGATTACAATTGCCATGCATTGTGTTTGTGAAATGGAATAGATGGCGGGTGACTAGGTAGCCATGTGAGCTTTGAGCCGATCGTTTTCTTCTTGTGTGCTTAGATCCCTCTTACCATGGCGTGTAACATCACAGTTGTCACTAGTGAGTATGATGGAGGCATAGGACTACTCCACGCCCAAATGTTGATTGTCCCGAAATGTGTACCCCTTAGTCAACCAGGTTGAGCCTTGTGACTTCGTTGGTCGTTCTTAAACTAGGAGCTTCTTGCTTGTGAGCTTAATGGTGTTAATAGAACGAACCCCAATCCTTTCTTCGTGTCTAAACATGAGTCGTCCTTGTGTCTCGGAGCTCTCACTTTCGAGTTCTTAAACTTTGAGTGCAAACCGTGAACTCAAGTGAGTGAAGCGGTGCGTTTCGACACTGCACTATGAGTTCACGGACGCGATGAAGAGTTCACGGCCGTGGACTGAGGCCAATCCCAGTATAAAATGTGAGCTGAAAGGAAGAGAGAAGGGGGAGCCCAAGAGTGAGAAAACACTTTCTTCTTCAGATTTTAGAGAGAGAAAAGACGAACCAAAGAAGAAAGGAGGCTAGGGTTTGCTCCAAGTGGTGAATTGGGAAGAATCTCCTCATGAGAAGATCAACACAAGATCAAAGGAGAGTGGATGCATCTCCATGATGGTTTCTACTTCTTTCTTTTGTGTTCTTCCCCTTTCTAGCAAGGAGTAGTACCTTTTTCACTTGGGTGTTGTGAAACCCTAACTATTTGTCATGTAGTTGTAGTGTGAATTGAATGATTATTTATGGGTATTATTTAATTTAATGATTGAGGTATTTTTCATGATGATTATGCATGTTTGTGCTTAGCAATCTAATTGGCCATTCTAACCTAGGTTAGAGGGGAAACCCCCCTTTCCAAAAGAGGCTCAATTGAGTTGGGATTCATTGGGCTTTTCAAGCCACCTACCTAGGTTAATGTAGGGCAAACCTCTATCTTGAATTAAACGACTAGGTTAATCGTGATTAAACCGTCCAACCATCTGTTTGAGGGAGAAGGTAAGCCAACCCTCAATTGCCTTAACCAAGAGGGCTACTCTAGTAGCCTACAATGTATCCCTTGGTTTGGCAATTGAGAGTGTGGTCTTCGACCATAGTTGCACCTCCTAGCGGTTCACGATTGCCTTGCCCATAACGTCCCATTCGAGTCCATGGTGCTATGGTAGTAGTTAGGGGGAAGCGGCACCCGAGTGATCCTTCTCATCTAGAGCTTTCAAACCATTTACCTTTACTTTGTTTTAATTTAAACCTCATAGTTTTCAACCAAAAACCAAACCGCTAGATAATGTTTCAAACAATGTAAGTAGGGGTACATGGACCGGCCCGGGTTGATATTTAAACATATTTGCCCTATATTGCTCCCATCTAAGGTTTATACTTTGGCCTTAGGTGGGATTTTGTTGTGATATTCGGGACGAGTCAACCCTAGTCTATCTTCTCTCAATATTTGCCACCTATCCCTAGGCCGCCAGCCATTCTTCCCCTTGATCTCCAATTTCCTCTTCTAATCTCTAATCCCCAATTTTGTTCTTCTCCTACATCCCTAATTCTTTCCCAATTCCCAATTATCTATCAAATCCCTAATCTACGAACCCTAGACGTACATGCCATAGATCCATAGTTCTTACACTGGTATCAGAGCTTGCTTAGCATGGGGTTCTAAGAAGATGACCTCTTCAAACAAGGACTAGGATTTGCAGCTAGAGGAACGGTTTCTCGGGATCCTCGAGGAGCTTGCTCAAGATGTCGAGCGGGTGCGAGCCACAACCACAACGATAGGTGCACGGATCGAGGCATCGGCAGGAGGCTGCACCAGGAAAGAAGCACCAGAGGGATGCTGACGGAAGGTTCGGCGACATTGTTGGCCCAAGCAGCAATAGAGTGTGAGTTGGCGCCGAGGCAAGTAACAAAGGCGAGTGAGAAGCAGTTGAAGGCTGCGATGACAATCAATGGGGATACCTCGACCGTAGCCGCGCCGAAGGAAGAAATTGCTCTGAAAAGGAAGAAGACTCGAGGAGCGAGACACAGCAGCCAAGCTCCCTCGACCTCACCAACTTTGATGCCCTATGTGAATCCAATGGTGAGACAAAATTGTTGTTCAATGTGTTCTTATTGTTTCAATTATTGGGTTGGAATTCAGAAAAAGAGGAGGCTCTCAGCCAGGAGAAGGCAAGGAAGAAGAAGGCCAAGTTTAGGAGGCTCCGAGGAGATTGAGAGCTCTCCCGATGTCGACAGTAACCCGTGCCCTCAATCCTCATTTTCGGCGAATATGCCGTCGCCAAAGGTGGGAGCGCCGAAGAAAACGGAGACGAGCTGGCCGCCTCACCGCTGGGTGGGTGGTTCACCGCCGGGAGAGGAGGTTCTATGGAAGGAAGTGAGGGAGCTGCTGTCAAGGAAGGTCATGCCAGAGAACGAGGCGAAGAAGGATCCGTTGTCGGAGATGGAGGAGGAGGTAGGCGCCGGGGAGCTTCTACTCGCGTCACTAGAGAAGGAGACTGAGGGGGGCGACCAGACAAGCGGATTGGGCCAAGATCTACAAGCCCAATTGCTGAGGAAGGTTGGGCATCAGTACCCTATATCTGCAGCAGAAGCGTGGTGGGCTATAGGCACGATGGGCCGAGTTTCCATTAAGGAATTGGGCCTCAAATGTGTTGTCTGGTTGGGTCTTCTTTTGAAAAGTACAAGGAGGTCATTGCAAGAAGCCCAAACCGAGTAATGTACATTATTTGGAGGAAAAGGAAAAGAAGAAAGTGGAAGGTTGAGAAAGTGGAAGTTGACTGCAACATTGAGGACAAGGTCGCTTTCAAGAAGGGTGGATTGTTCGAAACACGAGTTCTTTGTGAATTATTATTATTATTTGGGTAGGGTTATGCGGCTAGGTATAGCCATATAGTCTAGGATTTTATTATGTTTTCTAGTCTATTTTTTCTATATGTACTTTGGGTTTTACGTTTGAATAATCAATCAACCAAATAATTATTGGTCACCTATCCTTAATATTCTCCTAAAATCCTAGTCTCTCTTCTCTTAATATTCGTCACCTATCCTTAAACCGTCGGTCATTCTTCTCCTCGATCCCCAATTTCATCTTCTAATCTCTAATCACCAATTTTGTTCTTCTCCTAAATTCCTAATTCTTTCTCAATCCCTAATTATCTATCAAATCCCTAATCTACAAACCCTAAACGTACACGCCATCGATCCGTAGTTCTTACCGTTTATCATTAGCATTGTTTAACAGTTTTGGCATGGTTAAAAGTAAAGGCAAAATGGGGGGAGATCTGCTGATTATTTGATAACATGACCTGCCACTGCCAGCATATGCGTTTTGTTAGGATTGACAGGTATTGCTAATGACTCAATAACATAAGAGATGTTGTTTCTGCTTTTACCACTCTTGAGTTGTCCCATAGGCTCTTTCATTTTTCTGACACCACCTACTCCTGAATCACATGTTCTTTTGGAGCATTTTGGAAGTATGTTTGAACAGCAAGAAAGAAGTGGAAAAACAACCTGGCCACAAACTGTGATGAGTGATTTGAGTTAGCTGGATTCATTTAGGAATAGCGTTGATAGCATTTTCAGTCCCAATATTATACAATGAATAGGTAGTTATGCAATGAACTATATTAAATCAGTCTATGTACTATGTCATTTTTGAATTTTTGAACAAGTCTCTGAGGCAAAACAAAAGGTTCAGCATTCATGGCATAAGTTCTCCAGAACGTGTCTACTTGAGGTAATCGTACTTGTTCAGTGATCTGTTAAATTGACATCATATGAGTGTACCAGAGTACCGTGAAGCCTCAAGGATCATCAGCAAGTAAAACATGTAAGAATTTCAGCTGTTGTTGTGCCATCTAGGTAGAGAGAAAAAAATGGACTGCTGCTAGAATTACAAAAAATAGGGTAGCCATTAGCCCATTACATCATTTTGACTGGAGACTTCCTCTCATCTTAGTTGCAGCCAATTCCTGATTAAATACAGCAAAAAGGTGTCTCACAGTCATAAATCCCACCAGTAAGCAAGTTACCCATCAAAGCTCAGCAACATCGTTATCATGGCTATGGCTGTCCCTTCTATACTTTATATACAACAACAATCCTGACTACAACATCAAACAATCAACAATATGCCGATGAAACATTTCAAAGAATACAGAGGACTGAAAGCTCGCCACATAACCTTGATGGCACTGCTTTGTTACCTAAGCTCTGGACCGTCTGAACTCGAACCAAATCTCGTAGTGATTGAACAGCAAACTATCATGCGTTCTCTTGCCGAGATACTCAAGCCCCAAATCACTCAACCTCTTAGTACACTGCTCACCACCCAACCTCGAACAGAACTTGATATTATGCGACACATATATCCTCCCAATATAGGGCTTCAACTTCCCTGCCAACCTCTCGAGCCCAGTCCATACTAAATTATCCGGCATGTGAAGAAACACGGCACTAGCATATATCAGATCATAAGAAACACCATCACCAAACCTAGTGAAATCCATGTCTTCTCCTCGAACAATCACAGGCCTCTTGTGTAGAAGACCCTGGGATGGGAGCTCATATCTCAAAGCAGCCATGAGAGAAAGCTCGTCTCTTTCTAGACAGTGAAACCCTGATGGAGCGAGGTAGCGGATGAAATGAAGGCCGACACGTAACGTGCCACATCCAATCTCAAGAACCTGGGAGTTCGGCGAGAGATTCGTGGATTCAGCAAGGAATTCAAACACGTCCCTTCCACCAGCCCATGGTTCCCCGTAGTTGCTATGGTGCTCTTCTACCAAGAGTTCTCCAGGGCATGGAAGTGCAGTGTGGTTGTCCGAATCTGGACCATCATAGTGCGAGATTCCCTTGTATCTGGAGAAAAGGTAAGATTTGGTTACATGGTACAGCAGAGACGCATTGATTGGCAATGGGTGGAACATGCTTTACTTGTAAAGCAAGCAAACGAGGGGGAATAAAGATAATGAAAAGCTTCAGCCTCTAGTAGCAATTCTTGACTTCTAGGCTTCACTCAGGTCAGAAGAAACAGGTAAAGAATGAAATCTAGACACCCAACTCACTGTTGCATAGCCAAGTTGAAAACAGTAACAGCTTTTGTTTCGTTTCACATTTTAACAGTGCAAGAACTTCAACGGTGGATTGTTAAGTTTCCAATGCAGTCCACAGCTAAAGCAGAACAAATCCTGCTCGCTAAACAACACGAAATTCATATCAAGCCTAATCATCCTTCCCACAAATTCACACCCCATCTCTCACCATAATCTTTCTACCAACACAACAACCACAGTAAGCAAAAGAAATAAAAAAGAGGAAAGGAGATTTTCAACATGAGATATATATATGCAATTAAGCTCAAAACAGAGAAACTCCCTTAAACCCACACCAAAAGAAACGGAAAGAAAGAGACTTTGAACATGGGTTGTATGTCGTTAAGAAAAGAAACTGCCCAAAATCACCACAAAAAAAAGGGAAAGAACCAGACTTCCAAGATAGGGCTATTATGCAACAACGATAGAAAATGAAAATCCCCTGAAAACATATATGAAATGAAACAGATGGAGACAGAAAAGCTCACTGAATGAGATCTTGGAGTTGCTGAGCCCTAGTCCGTGGATTGATCCCTTTACGGAGAACATTGTCCTGCATATGCAGACCATTCCCTCGGATCTGTTCCCTCACCCACTCGATATCATCCGCCGTTGCAGATACCCTCTCCCCACCGGCGGCAGGGAGGGCGGAGAAGGGGGACGGAGGAGGGAGAGAGCAAGAACAGGGGGCAGAGAGAGAAGAAGCCAGGAAAACCAGGGTGAGAGCGGCGACGGAGACGGCGAGGACGAGCACCGGAACAGTCACGACGACACCCTTCTGCGGTTGGGAAGAAGAGGAGAAGAAAGCCATCATCGTCATCCTTCCAAGGGAAAGAGAGAGATTTTTTTTATTTTTTATTTTTTTGGTGCTTCGTTTGCGAACCTTTCGATTCGTTGATTTGCTCCCTCTCTTTCTCTTCTCCACACCTCACCTCCCCTCTATTTCTCTCCCTGTGTGTGTTCTGTTCACTTGTCGTCTTTTGGCTCCACTTTTCTATCGTTTGCTTTCATTATTTTCTTCTTTGCCACCGACGAATTTATCATTTTCTTCTGATGGATTTTATCTTTTATCATTTTCCGTTCGTTTCTCTTTTTCGTGGAACAAATTAGTAGTAATATTGGGTAGGTGACACCCATGGTAACATTCATACACAATATATAACTCCAAGTGTCATTATTATTTTTTATTATAAATTGTTCAGACCAGATAATAATAATAATAATAATTTATTATAAATTGTTCAGACCAGATAATAATAATAATAATTTATTAATCATAATAATAATAATAATAATAATTTATTATAAATTGTTCAGACCAGATAATAATAATAATAATTTATTAATCATAATAATAATAAATTATTATTATTATTATCATCATCATCGTGGACAATAAACATTTGGCCGTGACGTACCAAAGTTAACAATCTATTTGGTAATACCAGAATCAATTTTGTGGATATATGAAACTAAAGTACCTAGATAGGCCATTCTTAGCCAAACAATCACAAAAAAATTTTATTTTTATGTAGATAAAAAACATCCTAACAAATCAGTCTCGATAGATCGCCTCACAAAACAGGGTACCTACAACCCTTCAACAACTGTAAATTGTTTTTTGTGCTATAAACAATCGAAAGTTTCTTTTAGGTTTTGGGAAAGATTTTTTTCTTCTTCCTGATTTGATTAGCTCTAATAAAATCATAAATCTTTATAATGACAATTATAGAGACTAATTTTCTAAACAAAATATGTATCAATTAGTTATAATTCGAGCGTTCGTTTTCATAGCCTATGTTTGGTTCGGGTTTTAAAAGTATTTTTCGACTTCAAGAGCTTAAGTAGGACCAAACACCTCTAAAAACTCGGCTTTTAAAAAGTCGAAAAGTACTTTTGTATAACATAAAAGCAGAAAGCTTTGATTTATAGCTTCTGCGAAAAACTATTTTGAAAATACAAGATTATCCTTACCATATTTTAATTTTATTTCAGAAAATATAATTTTATTTCATTTATATCATTTTAAAATAAAATAAATTATGAAATTATATTATTTGATATAAAAAATCTAAAAAAATCATTTTGACTACCTTTAACTGTTTAGAATATTTATTTATATTTTATATTATATATCCTTTATAATCATTTTACATAATCTTTTATATTTAAAACACTTCTAATAGTTTTTCAATCAATCACTCAACAATTTTTTTTAAGTATTTATTTAAAAGCTCTGACTAGAAACAACTTATAAAAAACTACAGCAGGATAATACATTAGGTATACCTTTTCCAGTAATCCAGTAATCCATTTTCCTACTGTAATTACTAAAGAATATGACCAGAAACAACTTATAAAAAACTACAGCAGGATAATACATTAGGTATACTTTTTCCAGTAATCCAGTAATCCATTTTCCTACTGTAATTACTAAAGAATATGAAGCTAAATTAGGGGTCGTTTGGAAGTTGCGTATGTTAAATCGTTGTATTGTTATGAATCACTATGATATAAATGCATGCATTGATACAATAGATGCATTTTGAAATTATATTGTTTGGTTGTTGAGATTATAATTTATGAATTGATTTTTATAAAGTTACTTTATAAGGAAATGTCATATTTGTCCTCCACTTTTAATATAAAACAAAAAAAACCATGGATATAATTGGAAAAAGTAAAGGTGCTCAATTATTAAACCAACAATCACAACAATCTCAACTTTTAGTTGAGATTGTACAATCCCTCATTTTTGTTGATTGTTGGTGGGACCCACACAAAACAATACATGCATTGTTTTGCAACTTGACACTTCCAAACGTTGTATTGTGGACAATGCATATATTTAACAAATACAACAATAACAATCGCAACTTCCAAACGACCCCTTAGTAATCAAAATTATATTCCCTGCTTAATCCTTGTAGTAGAGTCACAGTCGCGTGCAATTTCGTCCTATTTGTAGTTGTTTGGTTTCTGAGAAAGAATTATAAATAATATAAATTATAAATAAGTAATTAATGAAAGTAGGAATGGCAGAGCTAGTAATCAGAGAATTTACGACCTTTTTTGGGATCGGATCTGATCTCATCAGTTGGCAAAAGTCCATTCAGTGCCGCGAATTTTGGGTCGCCAACTATTGATTAATTCCCCCATTACTTATTTCTCATTAGATTATCCCACACACACACTCTCTCCTTCGTTATTTAAACCTATGACCATTAATCTACATTTACAAAATATATAAAGGCAAAATATGAGTTGGATTTTTAGAGATTTGAATTTCCAGCCCTTTGAGAATTTCACGGAAGGACAACTAAGTAAATTCACTCCATATTTAATGAAGCTCTGCGTTTGTCCATCAGCTACGCAAAGCCTTCCACTCCATACATTTGCATCCTATCTTCGGAATATAAATCTAAGTGGACTAAAGGAAATTGATTCTATAATATCTACGGAAATATCAAACCGTGACCTTAATCCGGAAGGTCTTTATCATGCTGTAACGCCGTTTATGTTGCATGGTCCATGTGGAGCTTTGTGCCATCATGCTCCTTGCACAGAAGGTGGGGTGTGTACCAAACATTTTCCCAAGTAGCTCCATTCACAAACGACAATTGATGATAATGGGTTAGCCAAATATTGACGACGTGATAATGACATATCTTACCAAGTAAATTTGGCCTCACTTGATAATCGAATTCTCGGCGTACCATCCTTGAAGCGTCGCCTATGTGATTGACAAAAACATCGCGCTCCAAGAGATAAGGAGACCGATTCTCGGCCTTCAATTCAGCTTTGGATGGGTAAATACTCAGATGCATAATTTTGGAAATTCAATACAATCCTTTAGTGACGGAATCAAGATGTCACTAAAGACTGTTGGAGTTTTATGTACAAATCAATTAAGGATTTCAACAATGCACTGATGCACATTATGTATTCTTAGGATTAGGCAATTATAAAAATTATAAAAAATTCGTATTATTTTTAAGAATTAATTTTAGAATTATTGGAGTTGATTTAATATTTTAAAAAACTAATCGAATGTCATTTTTATTTATATAAAATTATTTATGAAGGATTTTTGTTGATTTGATAATTTTATACGTTATTATGATTATGGGTTGATGATGAAATTATGACACGAAATTTATGGAGTATTAAAACTAACTAGCTTATTACCCGGCCCGTTGGCCGGATTACTGTATGTTACCCACTTGTGGAATGGGAGAGAAAGCAAGTGAGAGTGAAGGGATTGGGATTCCACTTGATTAGGACCGACCCGCTAATCCAATTCTTCCCGACCCGCCCCAACCTACAGGGTCAGAAAGAGTCAATAAGAAAATACGAACGGGGAGGATTAGTCATATATCTTGACTCTTCAGAAGTGGGTCAAACAGGATCAAGGTTGGGTGAGGGCAATTTTTAGCGCTAAGCAGAGTTCTGGGTTGAATACCTTTACTTAGGCCTAGAAATTGGTGCTGATGCAGACTGCAGTTTTTATTATACCATCATCAATCATCATTGAATTAGTCCTGGGCATCCCTCCCCGTTGTCGGTCTGAATTCTAATGATGGCTTCATTCCTTGCACCAGCCATATCAGCGAGTTGCCATCTCGAGCATGATTTGCCTATGTACAAATAATACAATTAGAGTATGAAAATGAATTCAATGAAAAGGAAAAGAGAATTCTATCACATGCCAATAAATACACACATAATAGTTGAAGCTAAGTGAAAGTCATTACTCGCACATCAATTCTCAAAAATTACAGACTAAATATTGGCTAGAATGGCACTGAAACTACCAAGAATCATGGACGAAACAACTTGTCAAATTAAATAATCCTTATACTGAAGCTACCTTCTAACTTGAAATAAGACATGATCACAGTTCATAGCTCTCTTCTCACTATGAATTGGTTGCAGCTCGTCCTTATCACTGCCTCTCAAGCTCAATTCAAACATAATAGAGACCGTTATGTAAGATAACCATATTCTTACTGATCATAATTCCTTTCTTCGCTCCATTTTTGTCGGAGAAAAGAGTTATCCCCCTCTCCTGCATTTCCCTTTCCCTCTTCTTCACAAACCGATCCCTAAACCAGCAACAACAACACAAAAATAGCCTTCGCCTCTCCCGTCTCCATCTATTGAACGCGTTGGTGGCAAGACAGGACTGCAGAAGCAAAATTTTCTAAAATCAAACTAAATATTTTGAAGCAGACTCAACCACGAAAAAAGAGTAAAGCAACAATGCAGTAGAACCCTAAATTTAACTACAATCAAGCACATATCAGCAAGATTTTCGATTTGTCTGAGAGTTAACTGCACGGAGAGAACAATTGATGCATAATTGAAATGCTCCAAGCAAGTTGAAGGCAAACCATAACTTTAGAATTTGGTCATTATAATAACCTTCAAGTATTGATGCTTCTAAGAACTATCATGTCCAACCCCCACTTATACAACTACGTAGCCATAGTAATTAGTTGTATAATGAGAAATATTACAAAGAAAACTACATAAACAACCAATGTAAGTAAATATTAAAACTAACAACTGATAAAACTTAAAATCTCTCTATTGGTATAAATGTATCTATTAGTAACTACTATGCAATCGAGTATATATGATTTTTAGGCACTGAATAAGAAAAGTATAGATGGCTCACAAATGAAGACGTAGCAACTGAAGGTAGCACACAAAAACCAAAATAGAAAAAGAGATAAGAAAAAAGGCGAGAAAAAGTCAAACAAAGAAAAAGCCCACATAGGAATACCTCGCTAGCTTTAGGGACTCTCTGCCACAACAAACAACCTTCTTAAAAATCTAACACCCTGAGACATCAAACAAACCTCCCACGACACTAATGTATGACATTCCTATTGTCCAATAGGTTTGCCCAATTTAGACTTCTAAATAAATGGACTTTTCACCA